TTGTCCTATTGCCTATCACACCTTGCCAAACACCAGTCTCAGTTACTCATGCCATCTGCTCCCTCTTCTCCTATTCATCTAGTACTGAACAGAGCTGGAGAAAATCACAAAACTGTGCTGACTGGCCCCTTAGGACCGGGCCTGAAGCATTATAGGTATTTCATAGTGCTCTGTCAACATGTTCCCTACATTCAACCGCGCTCTTTGCAAGAATGCAACCGTTCTATTCCTCCCTATTAATGTTTTCTCATTTTTCTTAGCAGCTATTTACATACCTTTTCACTGCTCCTCAAGCCTCCCATACCACCTTTTTCCAGTCTTGGCTGAGGACATTATTTCACTGAAAAATTCCCTTCTTCATCTCCTATCCCTTAGACATCTTCACCCACTAGCTCTTCCTTTACTCGTCTCAGATAAAGAGGGGGCATTTCTTGCCAAAGCAAATCTCTTTATATACATCTTTGATCCCATTCCCTTCCTTTTTCCCACAGACCGTCATTGCAATTCCCACTGTCTCTCTGTCCCCTGGCTTCCTCTACTACCTACAAACACGTCTGTCTCCCAATCCTTAAAAACAGAACCCCTCACCTGATCTGACCATCCTTGCTGTTATCCTGTCTTTCTACCCTTTCCTAGCTAAACTTCAGACATTTACAGTGTCTCCACTTCCTCTCCTTTCACTTTCTAAACCCTTTAAAATCTGGCTTCTGACCTCATCATTAAACTGAAACTGCACTTTCCAATTTTACCAATGATCTTTTTTTTTTTTTTTGGCTAGGCAATGGGGTTAAGTGACTTGCCCAGGGTCACACAGCTAGTGTTAAGTGTCTGAGGCTGCATTTGAACTCAGGTCCTCCTGAATCCAGGGCCGGTGCTCTATCCACTGCGCCACCTAGCTGCCCCTCCAATGATCTCTTAATTGCAAAGTCCAATGACTTTCTCTGTACTCATCTTTCTTGACCTCTCTTCTCCTGAATACTCTCTCTTAAGTTTCTGTCATTAGTCTCTTGCATCTCCAAGAATATCTGCCTGTTCCTTCTTAGTTCTTCATTTGTCATGCCCACTAATTGTGGGTGTGCCCCAGAGGGCTGTCATGAATTCTCTTCTCTCTATATTTTATGGGGGTTCCCATGGGTTCAATTATTATCTTGTTAGTTAAATAATAAACATCTATTAAGTACCTATAATGTTTCAGGCCCGGTCCTAAGGGCTGGGGATACAAAAAGTGGCAAAGAGCTTACAATCTAACTGGAAAGGCAAGTAAAGATGCATAAACAAGTTATATACAGGTTAAGTTGGAAATAATTAAAAGGGAAAGGTTGGGAAAAGCTTCCTGTATGTAGATAGGATTTTAGTTGGGACTGGGAAGCCAGTGGAAAGCATTTCAAGAATGGGAGGTACCCAGAGAAAATGCCTGGAGCTGAGATGGGGCGTGAAGTGTAAGAAGACCGGAAAGATAGGAGAGGGCTAGGTTGTGAAGGGCTTTGAAGGCCAAACAGATAATTTTGCATTTGCTCCTGGAGGTGAAAGAGAGCCTCTGTAGTTTATTAAATAGATGATGTGTTTGGATTTGCACTTAAGGAAAATTACTTTAATGACTGGAGGAAAGATTGGAACAGGGAAAGACTTGAGGCCAGTGGACCTACCAGCAGGTTATTGCAATAGTCCAGGTGTGAAGTGATGAGGGATTGCACCAGGGTGATGGCAGTTTGAGAGATGTTGCAAAGGTTAAATCGACAGGCCTGGGGAACAGATTGGATGTGTGTGTGATGGTGAGGAATCCAGGACGACTCCTAGGTTGTGAGCCTGAGGGACTGGGAAGATGGTGTTTCTCTCAACAGTAATAGGTGGGGGAGAAGGCCAGGGGAAGAGTTTAGGGGGAAAGACAGTAAGTTTTGTTTTATACATATTGAGTTTCAAATGTCTACTGGTCATCCAGTTCAAGATGTCTAAAAGGCAGTTGAGATGGGTCAGCAGTGAGACTGGGGCAGGAAAGGTAGATTTGAGAATCCTTAGCAGAGATGGTAATTAAATCTTTGGGAGTTGAAAACATCACCAAGTAGTACAGAAGGCCCAGGACAGAAGCCCAAGGGACACCTAAGGTTATAGGGTGTGATCTGGAGGAGGTTTCAGTAAAGGAGATAGAGGAACAGTCAGATAGGTAGGAGGGAAAGTAGTAAGGTGGCATCCTGAAAATCTATAGAAAAAAGTATTGAGGAGTGATCAACAGGGTCAAAGACTGCAAAGAGGTCATAGAGAATGAGGACTGAGGAAAGGCCATTGGATTCAGTAATTAAGAGATCACTGGTTACTTTGGAGAGAGTTTTGCTGGAATGACAAAGTCAGATGCCAAATTGTAAGGGGTTAAGAATGAGAGGAGAGAAAGTGGAAGTACCTGTTTGTATCTCTATGTAAATGATTCCTTGATCTATCTACTCACCCCTAACCTGACTTCCCAGTTTCAGTTTCCCATCACCAATTTCTCTCCCCTCTCCAATCCATCCATCAGTCCCCTGCCAATGATTTTCTGAAAACACAGTTCTGTCTGCGTCAGCCTCCCTACTTAAACTACAGGGAACCCCTAGGAACTCTAGGATCAAATACATCCTGTCTGGTGTTTAAGACCCTTTACCACCTGGCCCCCTCCTGCCTTTGGAGTTGTCTTCACCTCTCCACGTAACTAAAATATGGACCTGGAAAACTTGATGCTTCACGTCCTGTCTTTTCACTGGATATCTCCCATGCCTGGAATGGTCCCCCTCTTCTCCACTCCCTGACTTCACCAAAGACTCAGCTCGAATCCCACCTTCTGTCCCTTCCCCTATACTGTACAGATCTAGGATATACAGCATGTTGTCTCCCCATTAGAATGTGCTCCTTGAGGGCAGGGACCATGTTTCTGCCTAAGTGCTTAGAACTTAGTCTTATGGATGGACTTAAGAGTTTTATTGCTATTAGAATAAAACATAGGCTTAGATTCTTAAAATCTAGCCACTGCTTACCCATGTTCAGACTCCGTAAGAGTCTGCCCAACATGACTGATGTTCTAATAAACCTTGTCTTTGGCTGAAAAAAATAAAAGAACAAAGCATAAACTGTTTGGCTTTTAAGAGCCTTCACAACCTTGCCCCAATTTCCTACCTCATTGCATGTTATCCTTCTATCAAACCAAATTGGCTTTCTCTCTGCTACTCAGAGAATGCTTCACCCTACTGACTTTGCAATGTCTGTCCCAGGTGCCTACACTACTGAAAACTTCCTCTTCGCAGCTGCTTTATAAAATCCTTCAAGACACAGCTCAAGTACCATCTTCTATATGAAGTCTTTTCTAAACCATTTCTCACTCCCAAATGCTAGTGCCCTCCATTACTTTGAACCATATATGTGTATATGTCTTCTGCTACATGAGTGTGTGTATATATATGTACATATTCACACACACACACACGCATGTGTGTGCATCACATACTTGTAGCCCTGTTCGAATTTAAGCTAAAGAACTGTTTCATTCTTTGTATCTCTAGTAGCAAGCAGTGCCTGGAACATAGTGGTGCTTAATAAATGCTTGCTGATTTTTCCATCTCAGAAATGTCAGTTGCATCCATGCCTTCCATTCCGTTCCGTTGCCATTGCCTGGGCAACAGTACAGGCCATCTTTCTCTCATTTTCCTTTTGCTCTTTAATCAAGCTTTTTGAAGGTGGGGAGGTAGGGGAGGTTTCTGGTTTTAGTGCCCCCTAGGCTGCCTAAGATTTAAGTCTTATGTGGTTACATGGTAGGGGGACCATGTTTGGGTAGCTTCTCCATCTGCTTCCAACCCAATTTTTTTCCTTCTTAGGCCCCCTTCCTCCCATCTTTAGAAGTGCTTGAACTGATCCACTGGGCTGTTTGGAAATCACCTTAGATAGAGGGAGAGGGGGAAATCTGGAATGAAGGGGTTAGTGTCAGACTAACAGAAAAGTCATAAAGGGTGATTTTCTTTAGGTCTCCTCAGCTACAGGCGATTCTGCAGCTTAGTACATAGCTTATTGAATGCACAATCCTATTTATAAGGCCAGAGCTTCTCATATCTGCTTGGTTACAGAGATTGAATGGAGAGTTTTCACATATGGGATGGGAGGACAAGTCCTCACTGAGGGGTGACAGAAGCCCCTCCACAATTCAAGCACATTCATTTAACCCTTGCAAAATCCCAACTGAATTCAGGAATAATGTATTTGGTGCAAAGAACAACAGCCTAATGTCATTTTTTTTTGAAACCCCTTGCCAGGCCCCTTCCTCTTTGCTTCTTGTACACTTGACATAAATGCCGTTTACTCAAAAAATGCCAGACACAGATCTGTCTCCTGACTCCTACAGAAGTGGGCTCCAGTAAGTCTAATTCTTTGGACTCTTAAGTATTTGGTGCTGTTGCATATACACTGACTACTTCCCTAACTCTGAATGGTCACCTAGTAAATGCTTATTAGTGGTCACATAAGTGCTAATAATAATATGGCTGGTCCAGAACAAAGCCTATTATTACTACTCAAAAGAACATGATCTGTTAGCAGTGGACGTACACTCTTATCATAAAAACACAAATCTGGAGTTGGGAACAAATAGAACGCAGTTAATACTTTACAGAGCAGACAGTAAATTTATGGAACCTATTACCTCAAAAAGTCTTATAGGCTATAAATGTAATAGGTTCGAAAAGTGTTTAGGTAAATTACTGAGTGGATAGTTTCTTAACAGGTTATTAAAGGGAGCTGAGAATGAGCAGGCTCACATCCATAACCATTTCCTCCAGTGTCCTTCCATACCACTGTCAGATGAATGTTGAACTACATGGCTAATGTATCTGACTTAATATGGCACTGCCTATAGTGTCACTGTCTTTGGTAACTCTCATACGTGGGGGAAAGGTACAACCCATAAACAATCTCTTAATAAGGTTTGTCCAAGTACTGACATTTATCCCTTAGCTGACAGGTCTGCAGCAGGAACTGGAGACTAGGAATAGGAAACATCAATAGTAAATATATTTAACTTTGTACAACATTTACAGTTTACAATGCTCACATAAAATGGTTTTGCATTTTAGACCTAGAATATTGAGAGAGGAAAACACACCGCGTTTTGGTATTCAGGAAAGTTCTCAAAATACATGAATGCAAAAAAAAAATAAAAATAAAAATACTTGTACCATTTCCCCCCAGAATTCTCTCGTAGTTTCTCATTTTATCCTCGTTCACCCACCACTAAAAGAAGTGGCATTTGCAGTCTTTCGCCACGCCTCCCGCCTCTCACAACAGAGCTCCCTTCACCCTCCAGTCCTGAGACAGCAGATCTTGCAGCTCTCCCTCATCGTCGCTGTCGAGGTTCTCCTCCTCCTTTTTCTGCAATTCCCTCAAAGTCAGCACTTCCTTCAGTTTACCTTTCAGGACGTCCTGGCGGTCCCGGAGGACCTCCACCCGACGGTAGCACTCGATCTGCTCGTCGATCTCGCCGATCTGCCGGTCCAGCCGCCCCTCCTCGTCCTCCTCGGCCACGATGGCCTCGGAAATCGTGTTGACCTGCCTCATGGCCTTCTGGAACTCGTCCCACTCCTTGTCCATCTGGTCCTTGGGCGCATCCACTTTCCGCACTCTGGCGTCGATCTCGGGGTCGTCGAAGAAGCCCTCGGGCAGAGCCTCGGCCGTGTTCTCCCGCCTCTCCACCACCTTCTCTTGCACCTCGGCCTTCTGGATGGACCCCGAATGGGAGACGACGGGGGCCGTCGGGGCGTCCTGGTCGAAGAAGTCGGGGGGCAGCGCGCTGGGCGCAGGCTCCTGCGAGGAAGAAGGGTGCGCGGGGGCCGGGTTCTCGCTCTTTGCTTCTTTTTCCTCTTCTTCCTCCTCTTCCTCGTCGTCGTCGTCTCCGTAGTCCGGGAGCAAACTCAGCCCCGACGCTTTTCGGGGGGCCTCCTTCGCGCCTGAGTCAAAGAAGTCCACGGGCAGCCCGGGGGCTGCGGGAGCGGCTCGCGCTCTCTTCGCGTCGGCCGGGCCGTCCGGCTCGGGGCCGGTTCTCTTGGCCGGCGGCGGCGGCGGCAGCGGCGGCTGCGCGGGGCCCGGCCCAGGCTCCTTGGGCCCCTTCAGCAGCGCCACCTTCTCCTTGTGCTGCTTGCCCAGGACGTGCGTGGGCCACAGCAGCTCGCTCTTCACGGGGACGCCGCACAGCGCGCAGCTCAGCTGCCCCAAGCGGTTGTACTTGGCGAAGGGGGACTCCACTCGCTTCCGGCTGGCGCTGAGCCGCTGCTTCTCGGACTTCATGAGCCGCCGCAGCTCGTCCTGCTTCACCGTCCGCTTCCCGGCCGACGCGGGCGACGCCATCTCGGCGGCCGGACTCAGCGGGAGCAGCTTCGCTTCCGGCTCCCAGCTCCTCTTCCACAACATCCGTCCGCGTCACTTCCGGCCGCGGCATGCCGGATCGCGGATTGGACGGGGGTCTGACCAATGAGAAAAGGGGCGGGCTGTTTCTCGCAGCCGCCGGGGTCGAGTGCAGACGTTGGTTGCGGGCGTTGGTTGCGGCCCTGTTCGATCAAGCTCATCTGTTTTTTTTCTTCTTCTTCTTTTTTGGCCTTTTTTTTTTAGAGGAGCGCTGGGATGGCGGCTGTGAAGGCTCTCAACCCCCGGGCGGAGGTGGCGCGAGCCCAAGCAGCGCTGTCAGTTAATATCTGCGCGGCCCGGGGGCTACAAGACGTATTGAGGACCAACCTGGGGCCCAAGGGCACCATGAAAATGTGAGGGGAGGGAGGCGGTGGCGCGCAGTACGGTGGCCGTTTAGAACGCCGGGGCGTGGCTCGCGGAGGGGGCGTGGCCTGTGGCGTGTTCTGATCCCTAGGGAGCGGGGGGAGGGGGAAGGAGGGGAGGGGGGCGTGGTCCCAACTCTGTTTAGGGCGAGGAGACGCTTAAAGTAGCCCATTCCCCACTGCCTCCCTCCGGGGATGGTAGTGGGAGAGAGCACAGGTTCTGGCGTCCGAGAACTTGAGTTCAAATATCACCTTTGCCAGTTTCGCTGTGTGACCGTGGGGTCACAACCTCTTTGAGCCTTAGGTTCTTCATCTGACAAATAAGGAGGTTCATTAGATAGCCTGCAAGGCCCCCACCAGCTATAGACCTGGATGGAAGGAAGGAAAAGAATAAGTACTTTTTAAGCACCTACTATGTGCTGAGCTCATTACAAGTATCTTATTTGATCCTCACAACAATAGGTGTTCTTATTATACCTACTTTATAGCTGAGTACACAGAGGCAAGGGGTGGCTAGGTGGTGAAGTGGATAGAGCACTGGGTTTAGAACCAGACTCACTGAGTTCTAATTGGGCCTCACTAACTGTGTGACCCTGGGCAAGTCGCTTAATCCTGTTTGCCTTAGTTGTCTCATCTGTCAAATGAGCTGGAGAAGGAAATGGCAAAACACTCCAGGATCTTTGCCAAGAAAACCCCAAATGGGGTCGTGAAGAGTTGGACATACTGGAAAATGACATTCCTGAGGCGGACATTAAATAACTTGCCCAGGGTCACACAGCTTGTATTTGAGGAAGCATTTGAACCCAGGTGTTCCAGACTTCCAGCTCAGCGTTCAATCCAGGGCACCCCGTGGCTTGACTCTGTCCTGCTGAAAGGAGCAAAACCCTCCCTGACTCTCATTTTCTGTGTGGTGGCTCCTGTTTTAAACTGCCTGCGCTACTCAGGGCTCTGCAGGTGCTGTTCCCCAAGTGGCTAGCAGACCTAGCCCTTGAAGCAAGGGAGCTGCCTTCCCGTGACCAGGGCTGAGAAGAGTAAGTTTAGGGTCACAGAAAAATGAAAAGCAACTTTGGATCATGAGACCATAGAACAAGAGCTGGAAGGGACCTTTCAGGTCATTTAGTTCTGACGCCTTGTTTTACTGATGAGAAAATGGGCTCAGGTTAAGAGACTTGCCTAAGGTCACACCAGGTGACAGCTTATTGGATTTAAACTGGATTTAAAAATAATAGCTGTAGAATAAGTATATAATAATATAGTGCATTAAGGTTTACAAAGTGCTTTCATCTTACTTTATGTTCACAACTATGGAAGGAAGGTGCTGTTATTATTTCCATTTTACAGATGAGGAAACTGAGGCCGACAGATGTTAAATAACTTGCCCAGGGTTACTACAGCTATTAAGTGTCTGAGGCTAGATTTGAACTTAGATTTTCTAGATTCTAAGTTGCTTGTTCTATCCACTGTTCCACCATTCTACCCTTCTAGTCATAAGTGTTTAAGAGTAGAGATCATAAAGAGATAGGGACTGGACTTGTAATTTCATTGATATAAATAACTCCCTGAATAAGGAAACTCCCTCTCCCCCTGTGGATTGGTGGTTCTCTGCAGTTTAAAGTCAGAGAGTTGTTTAAATCAGTCACATGTCATGGGAACATAAATCTTTAAAAGTAAAAGTCTATCCAGAAGGATTGTGGAGTAGTGGAAAGGACATGTGATTTGAAGTCAGGGCCTGGTATGGCTCACCCCTTTGTATCCACTAAGTTCTTTCTAATACACTAAGATGTGTATAGGATCATATATTTATAATTGGAAGGAACTTGAGAGGTTCCTAAATGCGGAAAGGCAGGCACAGAAAGGTTTTGCTTAGATCAGTTACACAGCTAGTGAGTGCCTGGGTGGCCTCTGGGTCCAGTGCTCCATTTCTTATACCAAACTGCCTTTCACCAGTTGCATGGCCCTAGGTAAGTCCCTTAGGGCCTCAGTTTCTTTATGTATAAAATGAGGGGGCTGAATTAGAGAAGCAGCAGCAGGTGGTGGATCGAGGACGGGATTTGGAGTCAGAAAGAGCTGGGTTCAAACACTGCCTCACACAATCTCTCAGCAGTTTTTTCATCTGGAAAATGAGAGTGTGATAGCTACTCTATGGCTTCTAAGCTCCCTTCTAGTTCTAAATCTATGCTTATAAACCCATTTCTGTTTTGCATAATGGTTAATGGTATACTTTTAATGAGACTGGTGCAGGAACAACAAACCTAGCCTGGGTTCCTGGCAGAAATCAGTACATCAGGATGTCAGGCATTTCCTGGATTAAGCCTTTCTTCTAAAGTGTTGGAGGGATAGAATGACTGGAGGCTGGGCATAATCCTACACTTTTAGTGGGAGTGTGGAGGTGAAATTTCCAGACCTTCAGCAGCATAAAGGATTCTGAGGACTAGCGAGTGAAGTGCACTACCATTTTAAATTCAATTTTATTTTCATATTTGCATTTTACCCACCCTCACCCCACTGTTGAGAATGAAAGAAAAATAAAACCTGTCACAAACCTGTATAGTCATCAAAATAAATGCATGAATAGGCCATGTTAAAAAAAAAATTGTCGATCATATCACTTTTCTGTCTGGAGGTGGGTAGCATGTTTCATCATGAATCCTCAGGATTGTGGTTGGTTATTGTGTTGATCAGAATTCCCAAGTCCAAGTTGTTTGTCTCTGCAGTATTGTTGTTATTATATAAATTATCATAAACTATTTAATGTTGAATGAAGTAAAATGATAAACCTTTAGATGAGCATAAGATTTGCTTTTTGGTAGCTCTTCTTGTTCAAGGAGGAAGCATCTGAATGGACGGATGAATTAGGGTCTGGGAGGAAAGGAAGAAGAGAAGGGTCATATATTTATGCTGAAAGAGTTCATCCGGTCTAATCCTTTCATTTTACAGATAAGTAAACTAAGCCCTAGAGAGGTTACTTGACTTGTCCAAGGTCACAAAGTTAGTAAGGTAACAGAGGAGAGGGCTTTTGACCTCTGACTCCAAATCCAGTGTTCTTTCTAATATATTAAACTTTTTGGAAGACAAGGGTGGAGGCAGAAAGAGAGAAGAACACCGAAGAAGGAAAGAAATGTTAAGAGTGATGAGATAAAGGGAGGCTTGATAGGTTCCTAGATGAATTTGTTTCATTTAATCACTGTAGACCTCTAATTACCCTTCTCTTTAAACCTGTAGAACCTCCATTTTTGAATGAGTTGGCTCTAGCAGCTCACCTAAGAGGAAAATTATTTTCTAGACTGCAGTGATGGTGGCCAGAATACTAGGACTATGGGGAACACTTGGAGGTTTCCATATCAGTTTTTGAGTATTGTAGAGAATCCAGCTCTTTGAATTTAAGTTGGGTTGATAGGTGGCAAATGATAGAGGAGTAGTGGCAAGCATTCTTTTACCATATGCATTTATTAATAACAAATTGTTCTTTGAACAGGCTTGTTTCTGGTGCAGGAGACATTAAACTTACCAAAGATGGCAATGTTCTGCTCCATGAAATGGTGAGCTATCCATGCTTGCTTTCCCCATAATATTTATAAGCAGACATTAAGAAAAAGAAGAATGCTAATCTAGATTTTTTTTAATCCAAAATAGGCACTTAAAACTGTAGTGTTAAGATAAATTAGGTTAACTTCCACTTGTCAGCAGCTTTTAAAATTTTATATGTATCCTGAAAAATGGCTGAGGAATACCTTTAAGTTAAAGTCATTTTAAAAACACACTATCTTATTCTATGTTATCAGGGAACAATCAGTCACCCTTTGCAATTTTAGTAAATGTATTCATCTTTGAGATGGAAGGATTTAATCTTATGTTGGAAGTGTCATGTCAACATAATACATGCCACAGCAATTGTTTTATTGTACATTTTTCTGCAGTCTTGAACTTTGAGATGGGTGTACTAGCCAATTAACTTCTTTGTTTAGCTTGTTTCAGAATAGTTCTACTCACCTAATAGAGACTAAATAGGAAGAGTTTTGAAATTTATGAAATGAAGCTCAATTTCATCTTTGTATTTGTTGACTGAATGTAGAGTATTGATACTCTAATTAGCCTGCTTATTGCTTTGCTTTTCCTTTTACTCATCACTTATTTCATTTTAAAGAAATCTGTTGTCTCCTTTGTAGCAAATTCAGCACCCAACAGCTTCTTTGATAGCAAAAGTAGCAACAGCCCAAGATGACATCACTGGTGATGGCACCACTTCAAATGTTCTGATTATTGGAGAGCTCCTGAAACAGGCAGATCTCTACATCTCAGAGGTATTTACATTTCATGATATATTTTATTCTGAAAGGAAAATAATGTGTGTCGAGTCAAGTGAATTAAGTTTAAAGAATAACCTTGTGTTAGTGGAATTATGTGTTTTCTGAGATTTGATTTACCCATTTTGACAAAAGAGTAGTTCATTAATTAAATTGTGTCTCCATGTATATTTATTGACTCAACAGAATGTAAATAAAAGAAAATAATAGTGCAAAAAGTTGAGTGACTGTTTATTGAGAGATTTTTGTAACTGATTTGCAATATGGCTCCTACTTCTAACCTTCTTTTCTACCCATATTAGCCCCATTGCACTTAAATATACCATATTTAGTACCATTTCTATGCCTTTTTTTCAGGCTCTTCCTT